ATTACAGGTTTAGGTCTTAAATTTCATATAAGGTGGTATTAAAAAGGTCTTAAAAAGTCTTAAATTTAACTTGTTCGTGTCTGCAGAAACCCCGTCTCATCACAGCCGGATCCACAGACGCCTTCTGGAGCGTCCAATATTTTTTTAATTGCCCGTTAAAGTTTTATATTTGAATATTACACAACACACTGATCCTTTAACAATGCATTGACGCACAAATGTAAATACTGCCCTAAGAAAATATTGATTTGATGAACTTTTTACTTGTACCGATATTTTAAATTAGCCTTTGAACTTAGCTTTATTGCATGGCAAAAAAAAGAAAAAGAAAAAACCTTACCTTGCTAATGGATTGACAGAACCCACTGATCTAATGGTGTTTATGCAATTTTAATTGTTTTATTTTTTTGCATGTGATGTAACTGTGACTTCCCACTTTTAATACTTTTTTAGGTCCAACATTATATTAAGTGGCCCTAATACCTGTGTACTTACATAGTAACTAGATGTGTATGTAGTATGTAACCACACTGTAAGTACACATTGGTACATAGTATCTAGAGCTGTAATATTTCTGTAACTACACACATGCAACAACCCTCCGAATGGTTTGTGCAAGTACAAATGTGTAACAGGACATATATAACTACATTTTGTAACAACAATATGTATAAGAGTAATTGGAACAATTTGATCCAGGGGGTGGAGATGGGTAGGTTTAGGGATATGTAAAGTGGGAGGAGTTGGATCTCAAGTTGGTGGAGTTGATGCACCACTGTAATACCAGTGTACTTACATGGTAACTCCTCAGGAACTGTCCACTTAATATAAAGTGTAACATTCTGGACACCAACCACAATTTATATGTAAAGCCTAACTTACTGGCCGCTGCTGTGTAACATCAGAGTAATCACCTGGTAAATCCATAGGAATTGTTTACTTAATATAAAGTGTAACACTTTCTTTACCAAAAAGTGCTGTTAGTCCTGTTACACATTTGTACTTTCATTACCAAAAAGTGTTGTTACCAATGTCCTGTTACACATTTGTATTTACAGATACTATTCAGTGGGTTGTTACATATGTGTAGTTACACGAACATTACAGCTCTAGATAGAAGCTGAAAGAAAACACTTAACGTTGCTTAATTGAAGACTGTGATAAAAAAGACCAAATATAGAGAGATGAATGCGGCTAAAGTAAACAGTCTTTCTGAGAGCGGCTCGGAAGAGAGGGGCGGGGTCAGCAGAGCTCATTAACAGTTAAAGGTAAATGCTACAAATCTGCGTGCTCTGTTGCGTCCCATCTCATGAGCTAAGTGAAGTGTCTTGTCTCGCGGTGAGTGGATTCTAAATTAAACACCTCTGATTGGCTATTGCCAAAGCCACTAGAAGGCAAGCCTGCGACCTTTAGCCATAGCTAATCTTCAACATGTTTTACACTAAACAATACTTTTGGATTGAATTGTTTTTAGAGTTTACACGAGAAGTCACAGACTTTTTGCGACAGGTGGGATACAGCTTATAGCACTTCTCATTCATCCATTGCGTTCAAGAAATCAACAGACATGTCTTGGCTAAACTGCTCAACGCTATAGAAACACATTGAAAACAGAAACCTTTGATGGTCTCCAGAGAACAAACACTAATACGCACTGGATCGTTTGCCAAATCTGTTTCTCCAGTATGTTATTATTACAGCTTCGGGCCTGTATGAAAATGTAAACAAAAGCTCAATAACCTTTTTATTTAAAGTATTAATTTATTTTCCATAGACCCGTCTATTGCATTATGATTGCAAGCAGTATCAATACCCCGATAGCACACATACATCATGGAAATGTCTATTTGACGTCTGCACTTACATCTGCAAGACGATTTAGAGTGTTTGCTCATTTGCAATACGTCTATAGGACGTTTCCTATCAAATGTCAAATAGACGTTTAGAAGATGTCTTTAAGATGTTAATGATTTAGAATGAATGTAAAACTGACATCTTAAAGACGTCTGTCAGAAGTTTGTACACAGCAGATGCTTTCCAGATGAAGCACTCTTTAACAGACATCTTGCAGACTTACACGTGCTATCTGGATAATGTCAAAATGTGATGTGCAGTCAAATGTCCCAGTGTGTTTTGTCTTTAAACAAATGTTCCAGGTACACTTGTTGTGCTTCATGGAGTTATGTGTTTTATGGACTCAATAGTGTTTCTTAAATGTGGTGATTAAGAAACAATAACGAGAAACAAAATCGAGCTAACCAATCGAAGGCTGAATATATGTATAGGCTATATGAAGATATTTTTCATCATGTTTTTAAGTAATAAATGGGAAGCAAAGTTATGTTTGTATTGCTATATTCTATTTTTTCCATGGATCTCTGATTTCATTCAGTGTTTTTTGACAATTGATTAAATATCAACGTCTAAAAAGTAACTAGTACTCTGAGTAGCTTTTGAAAAAAGTACTTTGTTCTTTTACTTCATTACTTTTTTAACACCTGTACTTTTAGTTTTAATTGAAATTCAAATTCTCCAGAACTGTCCACCAATCTTACAATTGAATTTCATATTAGAAATCACCAATGAAATCTGACAACAACTGTCTCATAAATGTTGTTTCTTTTGCTCAAATAGCGTTAAAAAAAGATTATTTTTCAGGCTCGTCTCAGAACGCTTCTGTAGCAACCGGAACTTCTAATGGCAGCTGCAGGGCCGTGATGGCTTTACCGATTAGTGATTGGCTCTTTTATTCAGAAGGCGGGGCTTCCTTCGATAAAGTGGCCATATTGAGCTTTGCATTTTTTCCCATTCAAAACTATACCAGTGACATGCCTTGGGTATTCTAGTCTTTGCCATAACCCTATTGCTAAACATAACTCCACCCATTATGTCCACAGAGGTGAAGCTGGACTAGGTCAAGCTCCACCCATTACGTCCAAAGTGGGGGGATGGGTGTAATTTGGTTCTGCAGTGAGCACTACTTGGCATTTCATGCTTTTCTGTCTTACCTGAATATCTGGACAAAGGAATCAGCGTTCAGTGCAAAACAAAGACAAACTCTTTCAAAGCTAATTTTTTGAGAAATTTGCTTCTGAACAGACAGCAGATCTTTGTGATTTTAGTGTGGTGATTCATTTTTAAACCATCATTCAGAAAGTGAAAGTAAAGTGTAGACTGCTGGAGTTCAAACAGTGAAAATGGATTCACCAGATGAATATGATATTATTCGTCTCCTGTGCTGCCAAATCAAAATGGATCCAGTTGTTCTGTCATGTAGTCACAGTTTTTGTAGAGTGTGCCTTCAACAGTTCTGGAGAACCAAGGAAACTCAGGAGTGCCCTGTCTGCGGGAGAAGATCCTCAAGCGATGATCCCATTTGTGAGCAGCTCTGCAGTTTACACCAAGAGAAACTCGATTTCTTCTGTCTGGAGGACAAACAGCCGGTGTGTTTAGTGTGCAGAGATTCACAGAAACACATCAATCACACATTCAAACCCATCAGTGAAGCCGTTTCATCATATAAGGTAAAACAGCATGGATCTCTTGATCTTAGTGTTTGTCTATCTTTTGTCTTTCTTTCTATACTAGATCGTATCTCATGACCTTTGCATTGCATAATATATTATGAACACACTCATATGAACAACCCCCATCTAATCTGTCACTGATACACAGACCTGGGGGATTACATGTAATCTGGATTGCGTAATCCGATTAAAAATCTAATACTCGTAATTAGAGTATATTACATTTTGTAATGCTCATAATCAGATTACAGTTACTTTTTATGGATTACATTATTACATGTTATTCACACAATGGCAGTAAATCATTCATAATATATTGATTCTCCCTAATTCTTCTTTTTTCTCTTTTAAATTATTCTTTCTGAAAATCCTATACTGTAATAACATTTAACTTTGACTATGTTCAAAATATAGATTGGTCATGTAAATGTCATTTAAATTAAATTGAAAACCATGCTGTTTTCATGTTTATTAATGTTTTTTCGTGTAATACAGGGACTCCCAGAAGTTTTTGTTAGCCAAACCCCTTTGACATGAAATATTTCCTTAATATATATATCTGAGGACGTTAATATTACAATAGTTTAACAACACATATGCAGGTTTACAGTTCACTGTTGCTTAATAATCACATTGGTATGCAGGTAAACAAATTAAATATTTCTATTTTTAGTGTACAAGTGTTTAAATTTGATTTAATTCATTATTAGCTTTTTATCAACTCACAAACCAACTGCAGTTCTTCCATTAAGCTCAGTTTGAGGAAATGCTGGTTTAATGTAATGTTTAATGCATTTTATGATGTTGATATACGTATATATATATATATATATATATATATATATAAATGGAATATATATTTTTTTTTCTCTTTGCTTTGTATATCAATATGGTATGTTTAATGGTAAGTTTAAAACAAGTTAAATAAGTAATCTAAAAAGTAGTCTGAATACATTACCTAAAGTGAGTAACCTAGATTAAGTTACTAACTACAGTTTTCATCATGTAATCTATAATCAGTAATGGATTACAATTTGTAAGTAATCTTCCCAGCTCTGCTGATAGATTTATCTTGATCAACATTCACACAGCAGCAGAATATGGTCATATTGCTGTATTTTAATGATTAATACAGTAACGTTCAAACACAACCCGGTTATTTTCGGAAATGACAATTGCATTATAGAAGCAAACTCATGTCCGTTAAAGTCCAGGACTCACAGAGTGACTGACATTGTTAACTTGCTCAGAGACTCGAGTACTGTTTGTAATATGTTGTGTGAACAGGATAGTTTGAGATCCACACATGTAATTAAATATGATTTTCAGTCCCAAAAACTGTTTTTTCACACCATTTGGTTCATACATGTATGGATTTTGTATGTTAAATTCCAGGAGGAGCTCATTACAGCACTGAAACCATTGCGACAGAAGCTTAAATGTTGTGAATACATTCAAGGAAAATGTGTACATACAGTTAAGCACATCAAGGTGAGGAAACAGAATCAAGAGTCAGCCTATTATTGATAGTTTATCATAGAAGAACACTATTGTAAATTAATTGTGTCTAGACATTTGAATGGAGGAGATGTATTGATGTGTGTTCATTCAGATGACTGAAGTCACGTGTCTGCAAAACATGTTTTTGGTCTGCAAATTATATAAAGTTATGAAACAACAGGATTTATCTGGATATACTTTGAAGGAGTAAGATAGACCCCGAAAATTTGATGATTTGATGATGAATTGATTTCAGTCTCAAGCTGATCACACAGAGCGTCAGATTAAACAGCAGTTTGAGAAGCTTCATCAGTTTCTCAGAGATGAAGAAGAAGCTACAATCACTGCACTGAGGGAGGAAGAGGAGCAGAAGAAACAGATGATTGAGAAGCTGAACAGAGACATCTCAGCTCTTTCACACACAATCAAATACATGGAGGAGATGATGAAAGCCAGTGACGTCTACTTTCTGAAGGTCTGATTTCACATCATCCATTGATTGATTGATGATTGATTAATTTGTTGATGATCAATGGTGTGTTTGTTCTGCAGGAGTTTCCAGTCTCAATGGAAAGGTGAGTGATCTGCTGCTGTCTCTGCTCTCTCTGCTTCTGATCCAAAGCCACTGCAGTTCTGATCCTGAATGTTCTTCCAGAGTCCAGATCTCATCACAGCCGGATCCACAAACTTTGATTGATGTGCCGCGTTACTTGGCAACCTGCCCTTCAGAGTCTGGAAGAAGATGCAGGACATCATCCAGAACAGTGAGTCTGGAGAAGATCTGTGCTCGCACACTTACACTGGAAATGATGCATGGGGGAGGATTAGAAGATTTTAGCATTATGTGTGAATAAAAGCAGCTGTTGATTGTGTCTCATCAGCTCCTGTGATTCTGGATCCAAACACGGCTCATCCAGATCTCATCCTGTCTGATGATCTGACCAGTGTGGGATACAGAATACATTGTGGAGCCACTGAGCTACTTCCTGATAATCCAGAGAGATTTGACTGGTACCCGTGTTCTGGGTTCAGAGGGCTTTAACTCAGGAACACACTGCTGGGATGTGGAGGTTAAAGGGTGTTCGTGGTGGAGTGTTGGCGTAACTACAGCATCAAACCAGAGGAAGGGACGGGATTTCTTTAACGCTGATGTCTGGAGTGTGCAGTGTAGACTGCCTGAAAAGTCTATGAATGAATTTCCTGTTGAACAGTGTCTTGATCGTGTGAGAGTGTATCTGGACTGTGACAGAGGAACAGTGTCGTTCTCTGATCCTGTAACTAACACACATCTACACACATTCACAACCACCTTCACTGACACCGTCTTGCCATTCTTTCACAGTCGTTACCCTCTGAGGATCCTTCCATTAAATAGTTAGTAATCATTAAGCCTGTTGGTCTGGATCTTCCTGCTTTCATCGTGTTTCCAACATCAGATGCACATTTTAGAGTGATCTTAGACTTCACTTCTCTGGACTGATTTATGAGATCTCATTCTTTTCTTGCTTCACCAGGTAATCATTGATTACATTTATATTTCCTTATCAATTAACATCTGCTGATTCAACTTGCATCGCAGTCCTTGCCTTAAATCCTTAAATACCATCTTAGTGTTGTCATCTTAAAAAAAAATTATATAAAATATATTATATAAAACTTACATGTTGTAACTCTAAAGTTTACTCCATTCTTCTAGTCCACCAAACACTTTTTTTATTGAATGCTAACACAAATATAAACATCAAAATAAGGACAAACATATTACTGACATGTAAGGTTTAAAAAAAAAAACAGAATATGACAAAATATGACATTAAGAACACAAAATTGCTTTACTTTTCAACTGTTTAACGCTTTAGCAAATACATTTTTATATATGTTTAATTTTGTTATCAAGAGAGTCAGTAAACATAATTCATTCATAAAGACCATAAACACACGCCTCCCACTTTCATGTCCTTCAGTAGAGGTGAAAATAATACAAATGAATTTACGTGCTGAAAAATAATACGGCAGATCCGTGTTTCAACGTAAACAATCATGGTGGCGCCAACACACCTTTATAACGACCAGCTCATTAAAAAAATATTTAAAATACTGGTAAAAAAAAATGTATAGCCTGAATGCACTGTAAGTCGCTTTGGATAAAAGCGTTTGCTAAATGCATAAATTATTATTATAAAATACACAAAATTACTTGGAGTTAGCTAAACGTATTTGAGAATCAGAATGTGAGACATCTCATTGTCTAGTTAAAGGTTTTGAATATTTGAAAGTGACAAGCTTGACATGGAAACAGGAATGTGATACATTCTAAATAACGGTCGCCTTAAACTCATGGCGGGAGCTCAGTTTGAAAATGCAATCTTTCACTGTGTTTAATAGCAAGTTATTGAAGTATGCAGCAGTCTCTTATTCACTTTCATATACGCTTATTTCTGTCTCTCCCATACACTCATTTCGGTACTGCTTTTCTTTTTAGATTCTTTTTTCTGTTACTGGTTTTAATGTTACTGAGTGTTGTCTTTACAAATAATGGAAGGTTTTTTGTCACATGATTTGGTGTAATGTTTCACATCATGTGTCTGTTAATGGTTCACCATCACTTCCTCTCCCGCTTCCTATGGCATGATACACGGAGAAAAATAAGGGGAAGAAAATGTGCACAAACTGAAATATGTTCCTGCATGAATTGAGACAGATTGTGTGGAAATGTCAGTGGCATTTGAGAGCTAGTGTGGACTTTAGTTGTTCAGCATTGTTTCATGTGGAAACACATGACTGTTTAACAAGCATGCCAACACTTTCTGTACTTTCTTTTCCAAGTAACAACGGATGAAAAAGTACAAAATGCATGTTACATGAATGGTTATTATGGATTAAAATTTGATTTGACAATGACACTCCAAACACAAACACAGTGAAATTCATATCAATCTTTATTTGTACTTAGAAATTTTGCGCAACAAATCTTTTTTTTTGTTGTTGTCCTTTTTCCTTTAATGATTTACACCAGGGCAGATTAAAAGTCGATCTGAATCTCATGCCATTATTCCTGCAGGAGCGGCTGAAACGGACCTCTTACATAAAGTGCTTCTGTCAACGATCGCTTTTCTTTTTTTGCAATAGAAAAAATGAAAAGACAGTGGAGGACAAAAAATTTCCATGGCTCACGAGAAGAGTGAAGGAAGGGGAATTCCTTTAAACAAAAAAAAAAAAAAGAAAGAAAAGACCGAAAGAGCAAAGAAAGTTCAGTGAAGGCCGTTTCAGCCCAGGATCAGACTGGATTTGCCACCAGGTGGGTTCTTCCGGCCAGAGGGGTTGGCAGCAGCCGACAGGGCAGAAGGCTGAGCGGTTTCCTCTTTCTGCTCCTCTGGAAAACACAAACACAGAGCAACAACCGTTACGATAACCTACTCCAGCTGACACAGAGATTCTGACGCCAACATCACTGTGTGCAAGTATGACCGCAAGTATGTTTGCATTAACAGTTTGAAACAGAGGTGCACAAACTTTACAAAGGACCAAAAATCAAACCTGATTGAAGGCTGTGGGTCAAAAGTAAATGCACTATAAAATACATTAAATTAAAAAAAAATTTATAAAATAAGCACACTTGTGTTTTTTTACATTTAAATGCAAAAAATGTTAAAACAAAAACACTAAAATAAAAAGAAAGATATGCTTTGATGGCATTTTGATGTTTTTTTTCCCTTTCTCTTGTTATTATTGCATGGTGGGCCAAATCAAAGGTCCCTGGTTTGAACATCTCTGGTTAAAACTAATAAAACCATAACTAACCATATGCATGCTTCTAAACTAACTATAAATTCATGTACGATGCAACATTGATGGGTTGATTAAAACTACACAATATCATCCACATGAGTTGAAGTGAGTGAACATGGTTTAGAAATTATTAGCTGCATGAAACCATTCAAAGGACGTCTAAAAAGACATTGAAACAATGTTTCCTGTTCAGTTTGTTTATCATTTGGCATAATATTTGGTCTGTGCCGTTCATGGTCATTTTAATACATTTCATAGTTTGATTTTAAAAGACATGTTTGACCTTTTGACTTCTCAGCACTAAGATGGTTTATCTTAAAGGGATAGTTCAGCCAAAGAAGAAAATTCTGTCATCATTTATTCACCCTCAAGATATTTCAAACAGCCACTGAATTCCATAGTATTTTCAACCCATGCCATGGAAGTCAACGGCTACCAGCAACGGTTTTATTGCCAACATTCATCTTTTCTGTTCAACAGAAGCAAAACTCTAACAGGTTTGGAACAACATGAGGGTAAATTACACTTTTCCTTTTTGGGTGAACTATCCCTTTATTAAGTAAAATCTGGATCTTGAAGCAAAACCAGTTAAGAACTACTGCTCCAGACTTTTAGTATTGACCTGGTACTATATGGATGTGAAAGCAGCGGTGCTTCAGTGCCATCAGTGACTGGAACTACAATCACAAACTCACTCAGCACATCAGGACTGAGTCTCGAATAGATTTTAAGGCCAGTATATTTGCATTTTATGGGTATGGGAGCACTGGTCTTCCTGGAAGTGTTCGATCGAAGTGTGTTTGGTAAGGTGTGACTCAGAAACGTCTCACTGAAGGACTCATCATGCGCTCACAGGAGAAGCATTCGGCTCATGAACACTCAGTAATGCACACTGGTACGGCCTGAAATAGATTCTACACAACTAGATGAATGCAGATGCTTTAATTTGACATATTGTGTTCAGAAATGTGCCAGAGCTAATAATATAACAACTACAAACTGCCACATAATTGTTGCCACAAGGGGCGATATAAGACATTCACATAAACTGATCTGAGAGAAAACGGAGTGTAGAAGACCAAAAGAGACTGAAGAGAATCTTGCTGAGCCGGATAGTTATAGTTTAGTTCATTATACAGCATCAGCTCTAACTCAGTGTTTGAGTTCTGATTACAGACATTTGCTCAGATGAGCTGAGGTCAGATTATATGCAAAACTGCAAAACTGTTTACTGGTAAAAGGCCACAGCCAGCAGACATGAAGAACCCAGGAGAGGATAATATTTACACTATTTGCATTGACTAATGGCAGAACATGAACATTAGAGCAGGACTGGTAAACAAACAGACTCGTTAGATCAGCCACTAACATCCCATGATACTGAACACTTAATCACAGGACACAGGAAAGTATTAGAGGCTCAAATTCTGTGTGTTTGTAGTGAGAGCTACAGTATATGGTCATTTTATATATATATATATATATATATATATATATATATATATACACACACACACACACATAAATATT